CTTCTGGAAAGCCACTAAAACCTGGCTGTTCCAGCAGGCCTGGGGCTGTTGACCCCAAAACACGGTCCAGCCCCATTTAGAATGGAGTGTATGGTGTATTGTTTTTAAATCTATCTTTTCTTTTTCCCTGTATTTTATTTTTGATTTTATTTCTGTATTGTAAGCCGCCCGGAGTCCTGCGGGATTGGGCACCATATAAATGTTATTAAATTCTAAATTCTAAGTTTCAAATTATCTACTCTTACCTCTATTTCTCTCCCAAATTCTTCTTTTATTCCAGTTTCTGTTTAACTTCTTTTAAAATACTCTTTCCCCTGGTTTATTTCATCAATCATTCTTCTTTTTCTCTCCTTTTTGTGTTGTCTTCTTGCTTTTTTTTGGTTTGTTCTGTTTCTATATAGGCTGCAGGCTGGTAGCGCTCTTTATAGAAGGCTGTCAGCCATTAGTCAATAGATTCAAAGTATTCTCCCACACCCAGTACGGACTGGAGTGAAAACTTCCAACCATGCATGTGCATACACAACAGGCTACATTGGCTAGGCAACAAAGCACCAGAGGGAGCTTAGTGAGATGAATTCAGGTCCTTGGGCCAGATTAGTTATACTCCAGGACACGAAAAAATTTAAAGAGCCATGCTCAGGAATCACTGAGAACTCCTAGAGGCCTGGAAGGCCCCAGGCAGCAAATTCCCATCTTTTACAATGGGACACAGGAAACTACAAGCTTGTCAGCTAGAGCTTGCTGACATCATTGCCTGGGAAGATCCTGTAGAAGATAATCAAGGAATAGATCTGTGAACATTTAGAAACAAGCAAAGCTATTATTGGAAGCCAACATGTGTTCATCAAAACAGATCATGCCCAGACAAACTTTATTGCATTTTTTGATAAAGTGATTAAATTAGTGTAATGCTGAGGACATAGTTTACTTAGACTTCAGTAAGGCATTTAACAAAGAAGTACACAGTCTATTTCTTGGTAATATAGAACAATGTGGGATAGAGAGCATAATCACCAGATCACAGTCAATATGCAATACTCAATGGAACTACATCTACATAAAGAGAAAGGTGCAGCCGGCTACTTTAAGGTTCTGTCTTGGGCTTAGTACTCTTCAACATTTTCATAATTGATCAAGATGAGGGAATAGAATGAGAACTCATCAAATTTGCAGATAACACCAGGTTGGAGGGAATATCCAACAGTCAATAGAAGATAGGCTCAAGATCCAGAAGGACACTGGGCATGTCGGGGAAGGAATGAAATGCCAAAACTGGCTGCAGATTGTGAGACCCTGCTGCAATTCTCCAAGGCCATACAACACAGGTGCTTGAACGATTTGGACTGTTCCCATAACAAAAGAAGTGGATTTAATTGGACAACGCAATGAGGTATAGCCAAAGGGAAAAAGCAAGTTTAACTATATGGGATTATGTGTGGGAAAACCAGAGTTGCTTTCACTTCTTCTGGGCCAATGTAGTGTATTAATAAACTTTTACTTTGGGGAAGCACAATGTCCAGGAATTCTCTTTTTGGACTCTCTAGCTGGACAGTTGCAATTGCTGAAAACGCCAATGCAGTCCTAGGCTACATCAACAGAGAGATTGTTTCAAGATCACATGATGTGATACTACTGCTTTCTACTGCACTAGTGATACTTTACTTGGAATACTGCATCCAATTCTGGTCATCATAATACAAAAAAATGTTGAGAATGCAGAGAACAACAACAAAGATGATAAAGGATCTGGGGGCTAAACCATATGATGAACAATTGAGACAACTAGGTATATCTAGGCTAAGAAGGAGAAGACCTAGGTCTGATCTCATTAGCAGTCTTTCAGTATTTGAGTGGCTGTTACAGAGGAGAATGAGTCAACCTATTCTCCAAAGCATTTGATTGCAGAATAAAAAGTAATGGGCAGAAGATACAGAATTACTACAAAAAAAGAATACAAATAGTGAAATATGAAGCTAGAAACCAGTCCAGGTAGGTCAGAGAATGAAATATTTTTTTACTGAACTATATAGGATTCAGTGTCTCAATCATGGACACCCTGTTTCCCTGAAAATAAGCCCTCCCCCAAAATACTACAACACAGCAACAGCCATGAAGTGACCATGCTTGCTGCTTCCTGCACCTCAAATATAATAAGACCTCCCCAAAAATAAGGCCAAGTGTTTATTTCTTGGGTCAACAGAAAACAAGACCCTGTCTTATTTTCAGGGAAACACAGTAATACAATCTGTGCCAAATATGAACATCTTTAATACAGAATAACAGAGATCAACATTTTTATCAAGGAGTTGGATGAGGAGTTTATGGGAACACTTAGAAAGACTACAATTAATGTAAAGCTGCCACTTTAGACAAGAAAGTAAATTCAGAAGGTTGTAGACATTCTTGAATAGGATAAAGTTTTACAAAAAGAAAGACAGTCCTGTACCAGGGAAAGGAAAAAAGGCAGACATATATGATGTAGGAGTAGCATATGAGAAAAGCATCTGGGAGTTCTAATATATTCCAAATTGAAGGTAAAAATAGCTTTTTGCTAAAAATAACAGACTAATTTGGGAAATATTCAGAAAGACACAGAGTAGGGACCATAAGAAGCTAGAATTTCACTCCTAGTTGGATCCTAACTGGTCCCATGACAGTGAATTCAAAGGAAGGATATTGTAATGGTGATAGATCTGGAAACCAAGCCTTAAGAGGTTTGTGGCTCTTGGCTGTTTAACCTATAGAAAATTGTACAGAGATCTTCAAATGGCTGAAAGTTCATCGAATGGATGAGGGAGCAGATTTATTCCCTACCTCCACCCCAATGAATCAGGGAGGCATCTGCCTGAGCCATTTTTGAATAGCATCTTGTTTTTTAAAACTTAAAAAATATTTCAGCCCTGTTGTCTAAGAAACAATTCTTGCATATTTCCATCAAAGTTGAGAGTTCGGGTTAGCTTTCCAAGTGGGGACTGGGTGGGGACCTGAGGTTTAACCCGCAACAGGCAGTATACTTACAAACTCCAAGAGGAAACTGACTGTCATTTTCTGGAGGAGATTCTGTTGATCTCCAGCTGGCAGTTGTCAAGCTGACCAAGTTTCATTAATTGAACCTTGATATTTAGGAGAACTATGACCCAGAGTTCACTGATTTCTACTCTTGTTGGCTATTGGAGGATGGTATGCAATGTTAGATTAACAATTTCAAGAAGCAATCTGCTTGAGGTCACCATTTCCCTGACCCTTCCTTCCTCTTTAGCATGCTGCCAGAAACTGATCTGAAGCCAGGAGATGGATGAATTACTTCTCTGAACTTTAGTAATCCTTTGGCTGATCAGTAACAGGAAGCTGCTAATACAGCTGTCTAGGGAGAAATGTGAAAAGGGGCAGCTAACTGAGGAGAGTTTGAGGAGTAGGAATCCAACATCCAGATTATGCCCTTCTGCAGTATGAGGAAAATCTATGGAAGACTTGAAGATCAGGTAGTGATCATGGTTCCAACATTGGGATTGACTATTTACCTAGAAGCCATTAAATCCCATTAATGGGAAGGAGAAAAGGCTGGTTCAGAGTGATTGTGAGCAAATCCTAAGCCTCTGGTGTCAGGTCTGCCATCTAAATGCTTCATGCTGCATTGCTTCACTTTGCCCCCTGGAAGATACTGCAGAATGAAGTTGAATCAGTTAAAGTATTGGGTCCAGCAGAATTACTTCAGAGACAATTTTTAGGGTGGTTTTAAAGTTTCCAGGTTCTTATGGTCTGTCCGTACTTTGAAAAGGGTTCCACCCTCTAAGAAATGTCTCCACGTGTAGAGTGCCCAATGCACCACGTATAACTCTTTTTCCCATACTACCCACCTCTGCTCAGTGTCTGACAGTTTTTTTGGAGATATAAGCACAAGGTTGCAAGACCCCTTTTGAAGTAAAACAGCTCTGACTTCTATTTTGAATAAAACTGGAAACATTCCGAGGGACAATTGGAAAGTGTTTTGCCAGTTGCAACTTTCAATTGCTCCTTGGAATATTTCCATTGAGTACTCCCTTATCGCCTACAAAGAATAGTCTTAAACTCTGAGGGGGGGAGAGGGAGGGAGGGAGAGAGAGAGAAAGAGAGACAGAGACAGAGACTCATTTCCCACAGAAACACCAGGAGCCATAAAACCTGGGTAGGCATGGCTGAGGGGTAGTCCTGGGTAGTCATGTGACTGGGTGGAAGTGATGCTGGATTTACCATGCCCACCCGGGTTTTGTGGCCCCCTGTGTTTTCTTTTCTGTGGAAAAAGGGTCTAAATAGCAGTGACGTGTGGTGAGGTTTATGGCTGGTGAGGCAAGCAGGCAAAAGCCGCCCTGCCGCCCCAGCACTATGTCCAACATAGAGGCGAGACGACTCTATGTTGGACACAGCAGCAGGGCTTTTGGAAGCCCCAGTGCTGTGTCCGCCATAGAGGCGGAACACAGAGGAGGAGGAGGCCGGCAGACTCTTCCCAAGAGCCTGCCTCCCTTCCCTGCTCCCTCCCTTCCTTCCCTTCGACTCCAAAGCCATGGCCAGTGAGGGGATTCCAGCTTTGGCTGTGTTGTTGGGGTTTTTTTTTTGCTCCAGGCTTGTCCGCGCACACTAGCAGGCTGAACAAAGCGGATGCCTTGAATTCCTTCCCAGCCCAGCTCAGGTTTGGCAGCACTTGGAAGCCCTGATCGGCCAGCAACAGGAGGAGGATGCAGCCCCTCGCTGCAGTGCCCCCAACCCACCCGGTGCCCACGCCAGCCCACAGCCCATGCCTTACCAGTCCTCCTTCCCCAGCGCCGCCGCCACCGCCACCGCCACTGCTTTCCCTTTGGTGCGGCGTGCAGGAGCCCAGGGCGCCCCAGACTTTCTTTGCCTCCATAGATGCAGGATGCCTCTATGGCGGACACAATGCCGGGGCGTCCAAAAGCCCTGCCGCTGTGTCCAAAAGCCCTGCCGCTATGTCCAAAAGCCCTGCCACTATGTCCAAAAGCTCTGCTGCTATGTCCAAAAGCCCTGCCGCTATGTCCGACATAAAACAAGTGCCAGCCTGCACGCCAGCAGAGGCGGATAAAACACACACACACACAAATTACTTACAATAATATAATTATTTACAAATTACATTAATTTTGAATTCCTC